CATTCAAAGATAAACGCAACACCGGGTTCTATACTTACTTAGGTTTACTCCGTCTCAGCCCATCTCGATTACTACAACTCCAATACAAGACATTGTAGGCTCGTACCACAGTGGGGAACCGAGTAGCGTGATGTGCTTCCGCCAGTTGAAAAGGGAGCTCCATTTCCTCGTGTTAAAGGTATCTTTTTAAAGGTTTCGAGCCTGATCTTGATCACATGTTTCAACACATCGTTTTGATTCGTTAACAACTGTATCCGACCTTTAACGCATGTGTTTCGTAATGAGAAAAATATCGAACATTATTGATCGGTGATTCATCTGACGATCTTGTGACGAGCTCAAGAACCTATGGCAAAAATATCATCTCCTATTGATGTTTTGTAACTCGCGCCTTTCCGTCACCATCGCATGTATTTTGTATTTGTCTCGTATTTTCGACTTTCTGTCGCATCTCTCTTTCGATTTCCCTGTAACTCTCGACATTCTGTCATCATTGCTCTCCTAACCTTAAGGGGCGGTGGGGTTGCCTAGTGGTTAAAGCGTTGGCTCGTCACGCCGAAGACCCGGGTTCGATTCCCCACATTGGCACAATGTGTTAAGCCCATTTCTGGTGTCCCCCCGCCGTGATATTGCTGGAATATTGCTAAAAGCGGCGTAAAACTAAACTCAGTCAGTCAGTCAGTCTCCTAACCTTAAAACACTCATGAGAAAAGAGGCAAATCTTAAATAAGGATTCTGGTGTAATTTTCGAATAGTTTTATCTTATCACACATTCAAGTCTTGTTATTTCGAAAGAGGTCAAATAAAATAAATAACAGTAAAGTACAGACTACTATTTTTATCGGGTTGAGCGAATGGACTTAACCTAAGAAATGCACTGGTATCTGTACTTAACTGAGGAAATGAGACCCCAAATATAACACATGGTACAACTTCAAAGTCCTTATTCCTTTTATGGGGTCATAACATTCAGTGTCTATATATAAGTCCGATATTTATTATGATGGAATGACTTTTATGAGGACATAATCAGGCCCAATAATCGTCTCTGATGACTGATCACACTAGATTCAACTGTCAAGCACACATACCATGCCACCATGATTGCAATTGTGTTGAATTGGAACAAAAGGCCCAAACTCAGTGAGATGCATCTTGATATTCATGTCAGGTTTAAAACAAAGCTATTATAACAGTTATTATGAGACCAGCTTGATTTTTGTCGTGATAAATGAGCATCAGCCGAGACAGCGACACAGCCTGGGGTTACACGCCGATACGACAAAACCGGCGCATCTCTGTACCAGGGCACTTGTTTTTTTATGATTTGCATAGAAATAGAATTATAAATGCTTAATCATACCATGCTTATCATTAACACGAAATAACTTTGAAACAAGTTTAAATTAAAGATTGTGAATATAGGCATTTTGTGAAATCTTTAATCCGTAAATTCCTGAAAACCCCGTTTCATAAGGTATTCCTAAATCACACATATACTACTATTATGACCAGTGGTTTCAGAAAATCCCTGAATTAATTTTGACAACCCGTTTAAACACATTTTGTGAATTTCGTCCCTCATGTTACCATGAATAAACAAACAATCGATTACAAAATACAAATATTATTATTGTACCTGACTGAATACTTGTCTTACACAGAATACGAAGTTTATTTTAATTATTTCAACGGTTGAATGACTTGCACTTCATTTAAACCATGTCAGCGTTCGCATGCACTGGCAAAGAGACCTAATATATTATGTTTGTCGCAAAATGTCGAAAAACCGGGAATAGTTTATTAAATGTCCACACCATACATATCTACTGTTTACAGGGGCGGATACAGCTTTTTGAGAAAGGGAGGGGGGTGCACAGTTCATTTCCACCCGTTTACACGTGAGTTTCAATGGTCATTTAATATACTTTCAGGACAAACGGGGCGGGGGTAGCTTTATATGGAGTATGATATTTTTTCAGGGAGCAGCAGGAAGAATAGAACTATTTTATGCTATTAATGAATACTTGAAAGAAGCTTCGAAAGCTCACGTTAAGCCATGCGCTGGGGGTTGGGGGAGGCATTAAAAAAGAACACGTAAGGCGGAAGAAATAGAAAAAGTTTAGATAATAATAATAGACCTATATGTTAAGCTGCTTTCCGAAAACAAGGCCATTTCACTGAGGCAAAGGCGAAGAAATACCTTGAAAGAGAACATGATTTAGTTGTTACCAAATACAAGGTATGTCAATACATGTATTTGCTTTCATTCTATAAATATACGAAAAGATAGGTTGTGAAATTAGGGCTGTGTCATGTGAACGATCAGACATCGTTTGTCTCTAACAATCAAGTAGAGGCCTAAAGAAGGATATGAACCGACATAGGTGAGACGCGGAGAATACCTCTCACACAGACAGTCTAGTCCGTTTGCTGCAAAATCGTAAAATGGCAAATAAATATACATCGGAAAGCAACAAATCGCCTTAAATGGGATGAAAGTTAATCCTTTGTCACTATAATTTCAGACATGAGCATGAAGAAGGTTGTTTAACAAACGATTACGTACATGCTGGTGTTGTGATGACTTCTGTAACAAAGGAGCATGCTGTGTGTATAGAACTGCTCACCAATCGCACGTGACAATTGCACATGTTTTGCCAACCCACACTGTCTTTTCTGCAATAAAAGCCTGTCAATTGAAATGTCCACATCAGAAGTCTATCTTACTATTGTAAATATTTAACGGAATATAAAAGGGTGTCTGTAACATATTCTCAAAGCAATGTTAGGTATGTTCTTGCTCTTTCTATTCAGATAATTATATATAAATGCAGATAATATGTTAATTATAAATACAGAATGAGCTCAATCCATCATTACAGTGCGGTACATGATGGAATTCACAAATGATTTGAAACCCTTATTTGACTAAATTTAGCTTCGTAATCCATTTTATCACAATATCGTGTTTAATCGAGATTTAAGCCATATGTACTCAAGCAACCTGAAAGTTTCATATTTTCTACTCATGTTTAAACATCTTTAGAATTTAAAATATCAACTTGTATAACATTTCGGAGATATTGTATTTAGGCTGTGGGACGATAGCTCATCTCATATATCTACACACCAAACGTTTTCCCACAGAACACGAAAACTTTTTTCCTAAATATACTTCTCACACTTTGCTAAGGATCACAAAATTTCCCAGCTTTATTTAAACATAGATTTTTAATTTGAAATTGTATTCATTTATAACTGGATAAATAATGATATGGTAACCCCTCTTTAGGCAAAGAGCCACTTTAATCTAACCATATGCACCTGATGTATTAGTAAACATAAAATGGTTTTCATGGCACCAATCAACCATTTTGCAAATCATGGAACTAGTCATTGACAAGTACACAACACCTTTCAATAGCAGGTATGGGATCTACAAGATGCAGTGACATACTGAAACCTAGGATCCATGCTTATAATAAGCTCAGATACTTAAACCAAATTATACCCCACATCATAGTTTTCTGTTGAATCAGTGATTGGATTCTTAGCAAAGTGTGAATAGTATATGTTTAGATCGGAACCTGGCTTGTTCACATTATATATAGATATTTACAGTGAACTATTTTCTCTGGACACAAGGAATCTTTTCAGGCACTGGACCAATATGTGGTCTGACATGGTTCCTCGACAATGGCTTCTGAAAGCGTGTTTTCTGATTGGCTGTTTTGATTTGGTGACGTCAGCTGTCGGAGTAGAGTCGGCAAAGAATGACTTTGACTTCCAGCGTGAAATCGACCGCCAGTTTGCGATAACAGGTGTGTTTTATTGTTGATTTGAATCTAAATATTACCGTAAATGGAATGCGTGTGAATATGTGACGTTTAGGAACTGATTAGTGTGTGAGTATGAGCAGGTCTTTGATCCCAGCTTATAGTCAATGGCAAACAGGTAAAGCTGGTTAAACTTGACTTTGGTTGAGTTTGTTGTTTAACGCCACACTCAGCAATATGACAGCGGTCTGTAAACAATCGAGTCTGGACCAGACAATCCAGTGATCAACATCATGAACATCGAACTACGCAATTGGGATACCTTTCATTGACCGTCTAGAATACAATACAACGTACTGTTCTTTTAAGAATGTCGCCATATAGCTGGGATATTGCTGAGTTCGGTGTGAAACAATAAACAAATCTTTGAAGTTTGGTCATTCTTAAAGGACTCTTCTGTACCTTTCTTCGGTGGTCAAGAACATAGTACAAGGTCCCGTTCTTTTAAGATCGTCGCCATATAGCTGGAATATGCTGTGTAAGGCGTAAAACAACAAACACATCTTGTAAGTTGTGTCATTCAACAAGGACTATTCTATACCTTTGATTGGTGGTCAAGAACATAGTACAAGGTCCCGTTCTTTTAAGACCGTCGCCATATAGCTGGAATATGCTGTGTAAGGCGTAAAACAACAAACACATCTTGTAAGTTGTGTCATTCAACAAGGACTATTCCAACCTTTGATTGGTGGTCAAGAACATAGTACAAGGTCCCGTTCTTTTAAGACCGTCGCCATATAGCTGGAATATGCTGAGTAAGGCGTAAAACAACAAACACATCTTGTAAGTTGTGTCATTCAACAAGGACTATTCCAACCTTTGATTGGTGGTCAAGAACATAGTACAAGGTCCCGTTCTTTTAAGACCGTCGCCATATAGCTGGAATATGCTGAGTAAGGCGTAAAACAACAAACACATCTTGTAAGTTGTGTCATTCAACAAGGACTATTCTAACCTTTGATTGGTGGTCAAGAACATAGTACAAGGTCCCGTTCTTTTAAGACCGTCGCCATATAGCTGGAATATGCTGAGTAAGGCGTAAAACAACAAACACATCTTGTAAGTTGTGTCATTCAACAAGGACTACTCTGTACCTTTGATTGGTGGTCAAGAAGAAAACACAATACGCTGTTGTATTGAATTAAGTCCTTTCTGTTGTAGAGGTAGATTCTTTCGGGCCGTCGACTCGAGCTTCACACACCACCTTATTTAAGAGTAATGCCAGAGCTCGAGCTCTTGGCGAGCAGTATCTGAGTCGCATATCTGCAGCAAGGGCGAAAGTGCGGAGGTGAGTTTATTTTACTGGGCCTCTTCACAATGGATGGCAATTCCTTTCATACTGATGGGCAACGCTGAGTTTAAAAAATAGTTTAATATATCAATGGTTGGCACGTCGATGTAAGGGGTGCAAACGTTTGATTGTGTGTTTAAAGCCGCGCGCAGCAAAAATACAGCTATATTTGTAAATGATAGAGCCTGGACCAGACAATCCAGTGATCAACAGCATGAGCAGCGATCTACGCTAATGGGATACGATGACATGTGTCACCCAAGTCAGCGAGCTGACCACCCGATCTCGTTAGTCGCCTCTTACGACAAGTATGGGTTGCTGAAGACCGATTCTAACAGGTTCTTCTCGGGTCGAAGCCTACTGTTTGCGTGACTTATGTTGTACTGCTGGGTAATGGAAATAAAATACTCGAGTTACTCGTCACCAGAAATACGATTTTAGAGACCATAAGATATTTCAGACACCATAAGATATAACAGTTATGTTTAATGTGGTTTTTTAAATAGCACAAAAAGCTGCGAAATCTACCTAGAGGTATTAATCAGGGCTCCAGATAAGGGCCGTATCGCCGTATGTACGGATAGAAAATATGCACGATACGGTAGGAAATAATTTAAATTAGAAAACGTAGCAGATACGCACCACAGCAATGGTGTACGGTCTTAGAATCATTTACAGTCGTATTTATCTGTTTTATTGTTCATTGACCTGTTTACACAATAGTAGCAATGTTGTGGTGCATATATGAAACGAAACACAAGATTACTGATACTCCATTTAATTCCATTCAGAACTCTAAATGTACACTGAAGGTTTTCCAGTACTCCTGCATTGACCAAATAAGGAGTACTTACTCCTGATGTTGAAAAATTATCTGGAGCCCTGTATTAACATATTATACTCATATTGCATTTTCCTTATGTGACTTTTTGACTTTTGCGAAATCTTTTTTAAATCCCTTTGATAATTTCGTTTGACATAGAAGAAGAGTTACCATACGTTCTCGAATTATTTCAGTTGGACAAATGACTAGACTTAGCAAGTGTTTGTGACGGGTGGCACAGGTGGGGCAGGATACGCTCACCTTTTCGTGAACACCTGGTATCATCACTACTTCATAGTGATTCATAAACACATACACTGTCATCGTAGAGCATGGTGACCATCACTCTATTGTCTGGTTCAGAACCGATTTGTTGACAACCAACATCATACAGCTGTAATACTGCTGAAACAAACATCTACTTATGACATAGTCACAATTGTCCAATCGACTCTGCTTTTGGCAGATATTTCTTACGAATGTGGAAAGGGTTTTGTCGCTTTTATTCATAGAAAACATAATTCTCCCAGAATAACAATAATGATCTAACTATTCAAAACGACGGGGAGACTTCAATCCTTTTGATTCCACCATAAGTAGGAAGATTTTCTGTATATTTTACCATTTCCTCCAAGACCACAGCCAGGTGCGACCCGGCAAACATTCCCGGAAGCTGTGAGGCAGGTGTTGATGACATTGCCAAGTGGTGGATGTGCAACCTTCGTGGGCGTCTGTAACATCACAAACATCTACCGCTCATCCGACGGCAGCTGCAACAACCTCGCCAACCCAACATGGGGGATGTCTGACACACCACGGAGACGCTATCTGACTCCTCAATATGATGACGGTTAGTCTTGGCATTTGAAGTCGGTTACTGAATTGCCTATGTGATCCTTGTCAGCACTGATTTTACCGGATTAGAACTGGTCTTCAGCAACCCATTTAGCTTCAATTGCTGCCATGGAATCATGTTCATCTACCAATCTTCAAGGCCTGTACAATGGACAAAGTTCAGCTGCAATTCGACGTAAAGAGTTGCCTTCCCTGGTCTGCCAGACAGTCGTAGATTCAGAGGCCATCTCTACTTTTGTCTTATTCGTACTTCTTGGTCTGTAAAGATATAAACACTCATAATTCTTGGGATTCCTCTCAGAACAAGACAAGTAGTGAATTACCATTCAAAGTAGCACTACGCCAACTCACTCACTCACTTACCCAGTACCTGTATATTGCTGACATCACTCACTAAAATAAAACAGAGTCTGTCCACTTATATCCAGGATTTAAGTTTCTTATACCAGGTTTCATGACCCTGGGTTCGAATCCAAATCACTCCGTACATACAGGCGCGAAAGTGGTGCGTCAAAGATCAGCATTACTTTGGGTTTACTTTCATGTGAATCCCCATCATCATCACCATCATCATCATCATCATCATCATCATCATCATTAACATCATCATTATCTCACCACACTGTGATAGAACTTAAATAATATCAAAAGCATAGTTTGACGCACCTCGTCCTTTTATTGAATGTCTAGGAATACGCAGTCCACGCACCAGAGGTTTCCTTGGCGATCCTCTGCCCAGTGCCCGACTGGTCAGCACCATTGTCCACCCCTGACGACAAGACCCCGAAGCTGAAGTTCATCTCAAATATGCTGGTGCAGTGGGGGCAATTCCTGGTGTTCGACATTACAAGCACCCCAGTCAGATCAGGTACGACTTACTGCGTTGTTACGTGTGTTTTGAGAATATCTCTGTATGTGTCTACTCAGCGAAGATCCCTTTTAGAACTGTCTTCTGTAACCCATGCTTGTCTTAGGAGGCGATTAACGGGATCAGGTGATCAGACTCGCTGACTAGGTTGTCATCGCATCCCATTTGCGTAGATCGATGTTCATGCTACTGATCACTGGATTGTCTGTCCAGACTCGATTATTTACAGACCGCTCAGAATGCTGGTTTCCCACAAACCTGTACTGTGTTTAACCGAGTGCAGTTTTTTTGTTATTTTTGTTTTCTGGTACTGTCTTCATTCCTTCTGTTCAAAACTCGCTCTTTAGTTTTGTTTTAAACTTTATCATGCACGCTTTCACCTATAACAACTTGTGTCTTCTCTACAGGCGCTGAAGACCGTCCCCTGACATGCTGTTCGGAAGATGTCCCATTTATGCTGAAAGGCATCCTTGACCCTTCTCTCAGGTACCCACGAAGACCCGTGAAGACCCGGTTTACAACTGGTCTTCAGTAACCCATACTTGTCGTAAGAGGCGACTAACGGGATCGGGTGGTCAGGTTCGCTGGCTTGGTTGACACATGTCGTTGCATCCCAATTGCCTAGATCGATGCTGATGCTGTTGATCACTGGATTGTCTGGTCCAGACTCGATTATTTACAGACCGCCGCCATATAGCTGGCATATTGCTGAGTGCGGCGTTAAACAACAAACAAACCAAATCCAAACAGGTACGACAAGTGTATGAGTAAAATTTTCATGAAGTTAAAGATTTTGTTCCTCCAAAATCTTAGTTACTAATGACGATATATTTTTGTGTAACTATGTTTTGTCCTGTATTTTCGGGATTATTTCAAATAACCCCACCCACGAAAGATCAAGTGGGAGTCAGATGTCTTGCAACTGGTTGGCGTCTTGTGTCCCGTGGACTGTGTACAGTGTCGGGGTGCCACGTGTCTAGTGTCTGGTGAAGGGATGTTTCTATTGTGTCTCTTGTCTTGTATCTAGTAGGTCGTGTCTCGTGACTGTCAAGTGTGTCATTGTAGGCGTCTGTATTCTAGTGTCAAGTCTAGTGTAGTGTCTAGTGGTTGGTATCTCCAGTTCAATGTGTTTTAGGTGATATGTCCAATCTAGTGACCCGTGAAGATCCGGGTTAGAAGTGATCTTCAGTAACCCATGCTTGTCGTAAGAGGCGACTAACGGGATCAGGTGGTCAGGCTCGCTGACGTGGTTGACACATTTCATCGGTTCCCAATTGCGTAGATCGATGCTCATGCTGTTGATCACTGGATTGTCTGGTCCAGGCTCGATTGTTTACAGACCGCCGCCATATAGCTGGAATATTGCAGAGTGCGGCGTCAAACTATACTCACACATTCACTCACAGACTCACTCACTCATTCACTCCAATCTAGTGTCTAGCTGGTTGTATCACATGTCTAGTGGTCGTGTATTATGTATCTTTTGCCTAGTGTAAAGAGGGTGGTGTTCCTTGTCCTGTGTCTAGTGTCTAGTTCCTTGTCTGCAGTGTCGATGGTGTAGTGTCCAGTATCTATTGATAGATCGTGTCTACTGTCTATCAGTGTCGTGTTTTTAGATGTGTAGTTGGTAGTGTGGTATTTGTGATATTTTTGCTTTCTGTCTACCGGGTGTATCGTATCTGTCTCTCGCGTATGGTATCTATAGGTATGTGTTTGGCGTCTACTGTTTAGTGAGTTGTCTGTTTGGTTTCTAAAGGGTGGTGTCTCGCTTTAATGATGCATGTCTGGTGAGTTCTGCGCTCATGAGAGGTAGCGTCACCTGTGTACTGTCAAATGTTCAGTGAATCGTCTAGCGTATGTTGCGGCGCCACATTTCTAGTGGGCAATAACTCAGCAATCGATGGTTGGTTGGTTAGTTTTATAGTTTTAAGGCGACGTGAGCCAATAAGAGGCCTATTTGCGCCCAACACATTGACTTGACTTAATAAAACATCATAGGTAATTTCATCGCAAAAGTAGTCGTTTAGTTAATATAAAAGAACCGACAACATTATTAATATTCATTTGGATAAACGTATACATATATCACTTCCATTTCTGAAACATGAAATACTTATTCATTAAAACAGCAGTAGGTTAAGATGACAGAGCGTTAAAATGAATCAAAATCGCAGAACTAAATCTGTCTAAGCCACTTAAGAGCCTGTCTATATTACATCATATTTTCCTGATGACGAGACAAAATCTAAAACTGCCCGTTGCACGGACCCGCACATGATATTGGGGCCCAAAACTGTTTCTAAAGAAAAGATATCATCAACTTCAAGAACAGCACTTCTGAGATTATGTCTTATGTTATTATGCCCAGGGCATGTAATTAGAAAATGTTCAATATTTTCAGGCGTCTCCAAATTGCAATGGCCACATTTAGAAGAGACCGTCTTATCTATAATACTCCTGTAAGCATTTAGTCCACAGTGTCCAAGTCTGAGACGTGACAAAATGACCTCATCACGCCTTTTACGACAACGAATTTTATGACCAGATTTTAAAGATGGTCTAAGTTTGTACATATGTCGGCCGGTAGTACCTGTATCCCATAACTGCTGCCAACTCCTTGTAACAGATTTCGGTAAAACATTTTCAAAATCTTTAGGAAATCTCAGCAATCGAGACTCGTTAATCGGTTATCCCCCTTTATCCAGAGTTAAGCTGGTTCCCGACTCCCTTTGCGCGCGTAACGAGACGGGGCCCAGCTTATATACACTACACTAGTACCATGTGTACCGTCTGTTTTAGTGGAGGTTGGGGTCAAATGTAGTGTCATAGGTGCCGATGAAGGGACAGGGGTACGCTTCACGAACACCTGGTGTCGTCATAATTTGACAATTTAACCTAGACTATGACACGTGCATGGTCTGTATGAAGACAGGCTTTTATAGTTTTCGAGCCAAAGATGAATTTCAAACGTATACACAAACAAAAAAGTATGGGAACACCCTAAAATTTGATAGTCACGGAAACGTGGTGAGGTCATTTATACCAGAAGATAATTGCAACGCTTTGGCTTCACTCATTGTACCCAATTCGAATCCGGTCTTCGGCGTGACGAGCCAACGCTTTAACCACTAGACTACCCCACCGCCCCCTAGATATGACACGTATGCATGGTCTGTATGAAGACAGGCTTTTTTTAGTTCTCGAGCCAAAAGATGAATTTCAAACGTATACTACAAACAAAAAGTATGGGAACACCCTAAAATTTGATAGTCATATATAAACTGAAACGTGGTGAGGTCATTTATACTCTAAGATAATTGCAACGCTTTGTGTACTTAAGGGGCTGTTTAAACGACATGTTGGAACAAGCTGCAAACGTTGCCACAAGCTGTATGGAAAGTTTGTCTTATATGTGTGTTCTATATAGTGTTATATACAAAACACTTTAACCAGAGCAACAATATCAAGTCAACTACAGTGCCAGAAAAAGATTTGATATACAACTTAAAGACATAATTCTTTTCTGAATACCCCATGATGTTTGTTACCAACAGAGACGGTTGTTTCCCGATCAGCATCCCCCGGGGGGACAGGTTCTTCAGTAGGAGATGCATGAACTTCCCCCGATCGATCCAGATAGACAATACGAAGTGCACAGGAGGTATGTCCCAAACACATTTAGTGAATCAGTAGTGAGTGAGTGAGGTCATTGTAACGTCGCTTTGAAGTGTAATTTAGATTGGTCCATATAGGAGGTCTTAGGATGAGTGAGTGAGGTTATTGTAACGTCGCTTTGAAGTGTAATGAAATTGGCGAATCAGATCCACATAGAAGGTCTTAGGGTGAATGAGAGAGGTTTACGTCGCTTCTAGCAATATTCCAGCAATGTCACGGCAGGGGACACGAGAAATGGGCTTCACACATTTTGCCCATGTGGGAAATCGAACCTGGGTCTTCGGCGTGACAAGCGAACGCTTTAACCACTTGGCTACCCCTCTGTCATATGGGAGGTCTTAAGAGTGAGTGAGCCGCATTCAGCAATATTACAACTATACGGCGGTCTTAAGAGCTGGAATGTAATGCAGACCTTACAATACGTACAAACAAGTAAAGAACGGACGTTTTGTTTGTTTGTTTGTTTGTTTGTTTGTTTGTCAATCCCATATTTTCATTAGTTTGTCTAAGCGAGGTGGTACCCTTGTCTGACATGCTGTAAATGAGACATTATTTATTAAAGGAAATATTCACCGAAAGCACCTGAATAAGTATACAATAGTCACATTATCATGTTTGTAAATTCCACTCGAATAGTTTAAAATGGAATAGATACACACTGGGCATGGGTACTTTGGAATCCCTACAAGGCTCACATATATTTCAAATAACAAAACATATTTTTGCAATCCGTGAAATCAACTTGCATCGTACTTTTCAAGGACAAAACAATGGCGAAAGCAAGCGTCGTGGTCACAAATACAACGATGTCACACGATGACACACGATGACACACGATGACACACGATGTCACACGATGACACACGATGACACACGATGACACACGATGACACACGATGTCACACGATGTCACCGGGGTCATTTTGTAGAAAATGAATTTCATTTCCTATTTGAATGTAAAGTGTATCATGATTTGCGCTGTAAATATTTTAAAGCATTACCAAATTACATAGATCAACAATACTTTCTGAACACATTATCTTGTACCAAGTTTTCAACACTAACATATTGTTCTTCTTACATTAAGGAAGCATTGTCATTGCGTTCTTTATGCATATGAATCTGATTGTCAAATGCCACTATCTTATAATTAAACATGTTTATTTGTATTTTACGTGGGCCTAAGGCCTTGTTACGAAATAAACTTGAAACTTGTTAATTGTGGGGTCGAATCCCCGTATCGCGCCGATTATGTTTCTTGGTTCGCAAGGTCCACGCTTGTGGTTACAACTACTGTGGTTAACATATAAGGTCTGCATCATTTCGGTCCTCCTTAAAGTGGAGTAGCGCAATGGGTAAAGCGTCCTCTCTTAACGCTGGAGATCCTGGTTCGATTCCCCACATGGGTCTAATGTGTGAATCCCATTTCTGGTATCCCCCGCCGTGATATTGCTGGAATATTGCTAAAAGCGAAAAAACACCATACTCACTCACTCACTCATTCGCTCACCATAGAGTCGGGTGGTGGGTTAGCCTTGTGGTTAAAGTGTTCGCTCGTCACGCAAAAGACCCGGGTTCAATTCCCCTCATGGGTACAACGTGTGAAGCCCATTCTGTTGTTCTCCGCCGTGATATTGCTGGAACATTGTTAAAAGCGTCAGTCAGTTAGTTAAAGTTTACAAGGAATCACTAAACTAGTACCGGGATTATTTCGTAAATGGTGTATACATAGATCTTTCTTTAACGTCTTTAATGCTCTCCAGACATTCTTAGTTTATTTCTGAAAAACAACATCTTTTAATTGCTTTTAATTACCCTGCGTTATGTTTTGCAGTGCCAGCCGAGCAGATTAACCAACAGACGGCGTATATAGACGCCTCCCAGGTCTATGGACCCACCGCTGAAGAGACTGCACAGCTCCGGACCATGGTTGATGGTGATTATATATACTAGACAAAATATGTTAGGGATATTGGTATTTTTATGATTGATATTTCATCAGTGTGTCAATGAATAAATAGATCATAATTCATAATTTCAAAATTGACATATATCCCTAACTATTTTTGTCCAGTATATTTGTGCCACGGAGCAGGATACGCTCATCTTTTCTCCAACATCTGGTATCATCACTGTTTTAGTGTGTTCCTGGTGATATAGTTATTATTGTACAATGGACTCGATAACCATATGGATGGGTTTCATCGCTCTGGTTTACTTTATATTTTACAGAAAAGCAGGTCTTTTGGTCGGATGTGCACATGTTTTAGCATCTGTTTCATGTAAAATGTCAAGAACAAACATTATCAGCTATCTACAGAGACAGTTGCCGGTGACGATCCGGGTTAGAATTGGTCTTCATTAACTCATGCTTGTCGTAAGAGGCGACTAACGGGATCGGGTGGTCAGGCTCGATGACTTGCTTGACGTATGACATCAATCAATCAATCAATCAATCAATCAATCATCCTTTTTATTACCATAAGTTTACAAATACATGCAAAGCATCATGGGGGGTATTTTTCAAAAATATATCACTTTAAGGCTATGACTTGAAACATATCCAGCAATTATGTACAGGTAAACTATTCATGTCATGTTGACAGACATTATAATGGAAATAAATGTACATAGATTTCTTAATTGCTTCATATTATGAGTTTCAAATAGGTATGACATTTTATAATAGCTAGGGTTGTTTACATAATAATTCTTTAAATACATATTTCTGGAAGCAGTAAATTTATTACATTGAAATAAATAATGAAACTCATCTCCGAGTTGGGAGGGACATGAAGGACAGAATCGTATTCCAATTGTATAGCTTGATAACCATGGTGTTGATCACTGCATTGTCTGGTCCAGACTCGAATATTTACACACCGTCGCCATATAGCTGGAATATTGCTGAGTGCGGCGTTAACTAACAAAGAAGCCAAACTTAGACTGATTCCTTTAGACGTTGAATGAGAAAAAAAACTTATTAGCGGATCACAGAAAATCAGTTACGACACCAGGTGTGACGAAAAGGGTATGTCGTACCCTGTCCTACCTCATAATAATAAGTAAATTGTTAAATAATTATGCGATTCATTCACTATTGTATGTTTTCACAGGTTTAGTGCAAGCGGCGACAACGGACAACCAAGCAGGTAACACTCGCACACTAACACTCTTTATACAGTGAAACCTCGAAAATCCAAACGGTTGCATTCGAAAGGAAATCACACGGATTCAGAATTGCTTATTAATGAATGTTTGTGTGGAGTAATGTACACGCAGGGGAGTCGATCAAAACCGGACACTAACTAATTCGGACACGTGTCACATGACACATCACACTAGTTTTAACGATACTTTGACACGTTAATATCCAATTGTGCATTCAAATATACTCATGCCAATAATGGTTGTCACCCCCCTCCCCACCCCAACCCCACACACACCTCACACCCCCACCCCACATCCCCTCTCCAATTAAAAATTTGAAGGGGGTGACAACCATTATTGGCATGAGTATAGTATATGCTATACAGGATATATTTTGTACAAAGCATTTGGCATCATTTTCACTCACCATTACTTCTGTGAACAGATCAGGGCCCCGTTCCTCAAAGCGATCGTAGCGCTAAGATGATCGAAAGTCCCATACTTTAACATAGACTTACGACTGTCGTAGCGCTATGATCGCTTTGAGGAACGAGATCCTGGTACCAACACAATACCTGCGATGATTTGATTTACCTCAAGTCTGTTCATAGAAAGCACTCAAATATGGGGAAAGTTTTATAACGTTATGGGAATCTAGATTAACTCATTTGCATTTAAGCAGATCGTGGTAATCGTTAGCAAGATTCCTCGGAATGATTGCATACAGAATCTCTAACGAATTAAATAAGCTCATATGCATAGTAAAGCAAATAGGTCTCAAATAATGTCCACAGGTCAGGAACCAGTAGTAAAGCAAATAAGTCTCAACTAATGTCCAACAGAGTCTAACAGAATCGTGGTGCCTTGAATTATCAAATAGGTCTCAACTAATGTCCACAGGTCCATGGCACCGGTAATAATATAAAGCAAATAAGAACACAGTAACCAGTCTACATAGTTTGTTTAGGAACTCTAACGGAATGCATAGTAAAGCAAATAAGTCTCAGACTAATGGAATTTAAAGCAGGTCTCAACTCAGATCAGAACCAGTCTAACGGAATGCATAGTAAAGGTCTCAAATACAGTCTCAACTAATGTTTACTAGTTTACAGTCAGGAACCAGTCTAACGGAATGCATAGTAAAGCAGACAGATCAGGAACCAGTCTAACGGAATGCATATTAAAGCAAATAAGTCTCAACTAATGTTTACAGGTTCAGGAATTGCAAATAAGGAATGCAGCAAATAAGTCTCCAGCACGTTTACAGCTCTCTAATGTTTACAAGAAGATCAACCCACATCAACCCACATTGGTCTGACGAAACGCTGTTTCAGGAGACCAGGAGAATCGTAATCGCCATCTCCCAGAAAATTACATATAACCATTACCTTCCTCTACTTCTAAACAAGTACGCCCTCGACAAGTATCGGCTGACGTCACCCAAATCTGGATACTATGACGTTTATAGCAGTTCCACTGACGCCGGCATCGTCAACGCATTTTCTACCGCAGCAATGAGATTTGGGCACTCTTCGCTGAGATCGGTGTTCAGCAGACTGAGGCCTGACTTCTCCTTGAAGGCGCAGGATCGTTTGTTCCAGATGTTAACAAACACAGCGCCAATATCGTCCAGGACCGGGTTGGCGGTAAATGAATACTTGAGGGGTAATTTGGTGGACAGAAGTAGCCAGGTTGACCGCTTCATATCCAGGGATCTGACAGACAAGCTGTTTATATTGAACGGTAGCAGTCTAGATCTGGCTGCTGTGAACATCCAGCGGGGCCGGGACCATGGCCTGCCGGGATACACGGCCTACAGAGAACTGTGTGGGCTATCAGGGGTGTTCAGCTTCCGACCTGCTGTGGGCGGACTCATCGACCATGATCCTCACACTGCAAGACTCCTCCAATCTGTCTACAGGTTAGTTTTTTTTTTGTTTTGTTTTGTTTTGTTCGTTTGTTTGTTTGTGTTTGTTTGTTTAACGCCGAACTCAGCAATATTCTAGCTATATGGCCGTGTTCGGTGCATAATCGAGTCTGGATCAGACAATCCAGTGATCAACAGCATGAGCATCGATCTGCAAGTCAATATCTGTGGAACTTCCACATCACCCAGTTTCTGATACAGTCAAACACAGTTGAAGGGATCAACGTAAATAAACAAACGGGCAAAAGAAACTATGCATAACAGTTGCCCATACACCTATTATTAAAATTCACTTTCCCTTTTCACAATGTTGGTTTGTCGTTTTGTAATATCAGTGATTTCGACTTGGTATAGTTTCTTTTGCCCTCTAGTTTATCCGGTGTTCGACAAACAAATGTGAATTAAGAATTAACATTAACATCTGTGGTACGTTTCTGATAACAGTCAAACACATTTGTTTCGAAGTTGAAGTGATCTACGTAAATACTTCAATTTATCGGTGTTCGACAAACAAATGTGAATAAAGAAAGCGTTCGAAGGGACCAAACTTTTACTCTGAGACAAGCACAACTTCGACACATCAAAGTTTGATACAACAGTGTTTACCTGTATATATAATTGTCATAGGAACCTACAAAATCCATTCAAATTTGAAAGGTGAGGTGAGGTGAAATTGGGTTTAACGTCGTGCTTGAGAATATTTCGCTCATATGACGACGTGCATGCATGTGCATGTGTATGTGCGGCTGCTTGTACTAGCCCAGACTAAAGCTAGTTTTATAGTGCTAGCCCACTGAGATAGCATGCCGCAGTGAAACATGAATACCCAACCCAGACACATTATACTGACTCCGAGCCGGCCAGTCCTTGTTGTACCCATTAATGCCGAGCGCCAGGCAGGGACCAACAAGTACCATATTTTAACGTCTTTTGGTATGACGCGGTCGGGGATCGAACGCGCGACCTTCCGCTCTCCGGGCGGACGCTCTAACCACTACACCACGGAGGCGGTCCAAATTTGAAAGGAGCCCCTGTTCAAGAACATGAAACTCTGGAGGAGTAATAATATAAATGACTGACTGAGTTTGGTTTTACGCCGCTTTTAACAATATTCTAGCAATATCACGGCGGGGGACACCAGAAATAGGCTTCACACATTGTGCCCATGTGGGGATTCGAACCCGGGTCTTCGGCGTGACGAGCCAACGCTTTAACCACTAGGCTACCCTACCGCCGAAAATATAAATGAGGATAGGAAGGTTACGGTATATGGACAGGTGGATTGTGTCTCACAATGACAAGATTGCTTGGCTCGTTGCTCCTGGTATCAGAAATCTCTATAAAGCGCAGGCTTCAATATCCAGAATGCAGCGTAGAACAACATTCATTCTGGGTTTGTTTGGGTTATGAAATAATGATTATTATTTTTAATTATTATTACTGTTATTTTAATGTTTTTGTTGTTGTTTTTGTTTGTTTTTGTTTGTTTTTTGTTGTTTTGTTGTTGTTGGTGGTTTTTGGGGTACTTGCTAAACACTGTATATTCCTGTAAATATCCGCTTCTGAGTTTGATAATCCTGTGATTGAAATCATGAGCATCGGTAAAGCCAAAATATGTTGTGGATGACATAGATTACGACCTTATGGGTACCAACTTCTTGTTTATTCCATCGGTGAGAATCGATCAATTTGAACACGATGATATGCATCAAACAGGTGAGCGAGCCTGACCACCCGATCCCGTTAGTCTCCTCTTCCGAAAGGCAACGTCTGTAGAACGGTTCCAAGTGTACCTTTCACGGGAACCTCTCAAACGCATGACGCTATTTCATTACAGGCATCCAAATGACATTGATCTGTTTACTGGAGGAGTCTCAGAGAAACCAATCCCAGGAAGTTTGGTCGGACCTGTGTTTACTTGTTTATTGGGTAGTCAATTCTCGGCCTTGAAGAGAGGAGATCGCTTCTGGTACGAGCTCAGTGAAGCTGTCACGAGGTTTACGCCTGGTGAGTAGGGAGTGAGTGAGTGAGTATGGTTTTACGCCGCGTTTAGCAATATGCCAGTAATATCACGGCGGGGGACACCAGAAATGGGCTTCACATATTGTACCGAAGGCACTTTTTTCACTTCTGTTATGATTCAATTTCCTAGATAAAACATCACTGTAAACACACTATGAAGTTTATGTCAATTTGATAATGGTATACCGCTCGTCAGAGCACTTATATTGTGTTAATATTTGTATAGCGCCAATATCCAGCTCAGCTGCTCAAAGGCGCTTTGTTTTTCCCTCGATCATTTGATTAACGGCACATCGTATTATCAATCTCAACTCTTGCAGCCTCTAGGCGCACCGAGTTAATGTGACTTTCCCATTCTTACGAGGTACCCATTTACAGCTGGGTGGACTGGGACACATAGTCACAGTGCTTTGTCCAAGTTTACTGCACGTTGCTGTACCCGTACTTATAGACTGCTTAGTATTGTGGTGTAGACAGTATAAACAATACCAATCGGTTGACATCCGTCAGTTAAAGTCTTGGCGATTCTCTGATTCCCATTAAACTGTTTTCTTCCAGCTCAACTGGCGGAGATTAGGAAGGTCACTCTGTCTCGTGTCCTGTGTGACAACACCAATACCTTGCATGTCCAGAGAGATGCATTCAGAGTCCAGTCCAAAGCGTACGTACACACTGACGTCCATTCATAACTACTCGTGTCATTCCGGCAAGCCGGATGGCTTCTTGTCGGTCACGGAAAGAGACGAGTAGTTACGAATGCGACGAGTCCTTTCTCTCGGGTCCATTCGGGTCCGTTTTTATCCACTCGGATCAGTTCGGATTCACTCGTCTGGTTTCACACATAAGCACACAGGGGATATTGCAATTCGCTTTACACGCTTTGGCTTCGTCTAATAATATTATCAAAAGGGATCGCAAAAAGTTGACCCTTAAGTATGCAAGAGCTTGCGATGATTGGGCAGAATCATGGTTCGCCCGGAACAACTCTCGTTTGTAAGCACGGTACCTGTGTTCGTGGACTTCGCCAAGGTGTAAACGTCAGGGAATGCACCCCGACTAGGTTTCGTCCACATAAATAAATCTGACATACCGGCAATACTTTGCTACGCGGCGCACTAAATGTTTTCAACACAAAACCAATAAATAAAATACTTATGTATGCTTACGAACAGGGCACGTGTTTTAATGTATGCTTACGAACAGGGCCGGGTTTTAATTAGCATATTTCCTTGTTTACATAAACAGTCCGATTCTCTTGCCACAGAAATATTGCGAACATGGTGTAATTTGTTTATTTACCGTATGTCCGTGTTTCCAGTCTTGCCGCAGATCTATGGTGCATGTTTTATTGACTGTAACCGGAACTGGAACTGGAATATTACTATAATCGACGTAAAGCATACGCACACATGCACGCACGCACGCACTCACTCACTCACTCACTCACTCACCAACCCACCCACTCGCTCACCCACTCACTCACTCACTCCTTGTTGCCAGGAATCCCAGCGTTCCATGTTACAGCGTCCCTCGCCTTGACCTGACCATGTGGACAGAACAACAGCCACGCTGGTCTAACTGGTCGGCCGAGTCACTCTGTACAAGCGGAAGTAAATTCCAGTTCCGGAGGAGGGTGTGCATGCCGAAAAACGGAGGGTGTGTCGGACCGCGGGAAATGTGGAGGTTCTGTCCGACACATGGCTAGCGGGACCGGACAGTCTGGAATCATTATCGCGTCGGTTGGGTTTTTGTGGAGTAATAAAAACATTGAACAATTAATGCTGTATATACTTAGCTTGGCTAACGCGTGTTCAGGAATGTTGTTAATTAACATTAACGCCGCACTCAGCATTGTCCCACGTAAATAAAGGAGTCTGGGCCTGGCGACTGAGTTACGATCAACGGCGTCAGGTGCGACGACATGCCTTCTACCAAGTCACACAACCTGACTATCCGTTTGATTAAGACACTTCTTTCCACGAGAATTGCTCTATATTGGAATCTATAATTACTGTCATGACGAAAATAGATGTCTGTTATAATGTAAAAACGGTTATAACGCAGATGGCTAATTTTCCGGTAAAGTTTACAATGAAAACTCGTTAGTTCTTAATCCCTTTCTCTGGAAACGGCGATGTTATTTTGAGAAATCTTATGTAAAGGAACATATTTCAACCGCCCTTGTAGACTTGAACCTGCTTAATTACACTCAGCAGTATGGCTGTTGATCACTTGATTATCTGATCCAGACTCGATTATTTACCGCCGTAAGACTGGGATATCACTGTGTATGGCATTTTAACATTGCCCAGAGCAAATGTCTCGACTTTGAGTACATCATGAGCAAGACAACACCACCACAGGGAGGCCCGGCATCTCCACAGCTTCTCGGGATCGCAACATCCGGATCCTTCAGCCACGAAACAGGAAATCCTGTTTGAATCCGCATCATGAGCTTTCATGACGATATTTGCGTCACATTATTCCGGCTCTACAAGCCAATCATCAACCTGGCAATACTTATCCACATAACAAGTGTATGTACTGATTTCCGAAGGGATGAGAACATAAACGATCTGTGGTAGCGTCACCAGATCACAGCCAAAATGAGCATCTGTGGACGTTACCGTCAACATTATCTGCAGCAATAACGACATCGTCAGTCGTCTCTTACAAGTATGTGTTGCTGAAGGCCAATTCTAACCAGAACGGGGAATGAAGTGTAGTAAGCGGCCTATAAATCTCCCCCTACACCCGTGTCACGTGCACTACACGGCAGAGATGGGTAAATTTACAGACTTGAAAAAAATGTTAACCATTGTAGGCAGAAAGTACGTGTAACAGCAGTAGTATCCCAACGATCGATAAAATTGAGTGTTTTGTAATTCTGTTGTTATTATGTGTTATTTCGTTTGGGTCGTGATAACAGTACGATAAATGTTGTTAATGCACTAGTGAGTAAATCCAGTCTGTATAACGGCGGCCGGTAGTGAGTGAGATTAGTTTTATGCCGCTTTTAGCAATATTCCAGCAAAACCACGGACACCAGAAATGGGCTTAACACGTCATACCCATGTGAGGAATCGAACCAAGTCAAAACATTGATTATACAACAGTCTCGTTTCCTGCTGACTGGGTTCCGTCCTATTGCGCAACTTAGTACAATAACCAGTCCACAATTTTGAGACCAATTCATTTAACTGGATACATAAATATTAATCAGTATTATTTGATACATCTAAGCACTTGTGCATTGCAACACTACGCTACTTATAATGCTTGCAAACATGTCGCGCAGCGTGCTCTGTCGTACAGCGAGCACTGACAAACAGAAACCTGGAAATCGTGAAAATCTCAAAACGAGGCTCTGCCGCTAGAAAAGTTTGGCAGTCTGGTACGGATTTGATATTTTGAATAAGCGCAAAGAACACATAACAGGTGTAACTAGTTAGTCAGATGAATTGTGAATCACTTTACGACCTCATCAAACAGGGGCAGTCTGTGACGTCCTAGTTAAGGTCTTGCTGCCTACACCTCGCCATAAAATATAGAAATACGATGTTCTTAAAGTTTAAAATTAAAATTCATTTGTAAATACAATTTTCTTATGAAACAAGGAATTGGAATTCAGTGTAACCATAGTTGTTTGTGTGTTTCTTTTCACTTTCACACGAGAAAATTCGGATGGGCTGAAAAGTAGGTCATTGTCTGAATAGGTTAATGAGACTCATGTTTCGGTTTGCGGGTCTGCGGCGTGACGAGCGAACGCTTTACCCACTAGGCTACCCTGCCGGCGGCTTCTACGGCTTAAACATTGACCAGAAAATCAGTGGGCGATAGCATGAGAAAGTACGAAGACGTCGGGTACCATAACATACTAAGACATTACCTGTCCTTCTTAGGAAAGTCCTATTCTGGGGTCCTATTCTTCCCCGCATCTTCATGGCAGTTGGTGGTTCAGGAGCCTCTATGTCTTTTTTTTAAATGGGTGTGAATAAAATGAGCATGTAAATTATGAAAGAAGATTTGCAGAGTCGAAATGCAATGAAGCAGTGTATATTCCTTGAACCAGAGCGGTTGTATACAGTCTACTTTCGCTGCTCTGTTGATGGGATCATACCCTCTGTCAACAAGGCATAAAGCTTGACACATTAACTGAAAGAACTCTCGCTTCTATTGATAGTGAGTTCATTAAAGCCACACAACCTCTGCCATTAGATCCAAATGGTCGCCTCTGTGTCAGGTCACGGTAAAGACAGGGATTCTTCTGTTTCTCAAATGAATATAGTTTTACGCCGTTTTAGCTTTATTCCAGCAACAATACGGAAACTTCAAAGAATACGTTGACACTTTAAACCCGACATTAGTTCAAGTAGTCACACAAATGTTACGTACTCGCACGTGTGTTTTAAGAATCCTTTAATCGACGTTAAACCTCACCTCACCTCACTTGAAGCTACCTCATCTAACCTAGGTGATTAGGAGTGGGCGATAATACCGGTTAACCGGTATATTGCAATTCGTACTTCATAATACGATATATTGCGGTACACCTTTCGTAAACCGGTTCACATGATACGATCGGCAATTTCCGCGACCATGATCGGTAATGTTCGTGATGTTGTCAAAAATACTAATAACATTTGTATTTCCTTTATATTATTATATATTAATAGCTTTGAGAATGTTTACTGGTCATATAATTGCATTTGCATGACTTTTCAACCATATAAATAAAATATAGCTTGGTACAGACACTCGGTGTAGGGATAAACAAACCAAAATGGCCGACACCGCTGCAGACGATTTTTCTCGAGTTCCAAACTTTAGAGCGAAGTCTTCAATTTGGAAACATTTTCAATTGATCTCTTGTACAATCACAACTGAGTGCTGACAATGGCCAGTGGCATTGTTTCAAAAGAAAGGAAACAGTAATTTCATTACCTTAAACCATGTGTTACACTTTCACAATATATTGCAATACATGTTGCAATACGCCAACACCATATCACAATATATACGCAATACATTTTTGCAATACCCAACCCTATAGGTGATCGTGGCATTTATTGTTTATCAACAAAAACTGTCGAAATAACTGATTCAAACATATGCCTGGTAAACAGCAACTGCGTTGCATGCATTCAATAAATCGAGACATACTTCTTACATAACACGCAATAAGTAAACGAACAGACTCATACTATATAATGCGTTTTCAATCGTTCAAATAAAGGTTTTACTTTAGGCTCATCAACCGCTCTTACATGGATCATGTCCGCACTAGACAGGTTTTCCCCTGGAGGCCTATCATCAATCACAGGGTCAAGGTCGTTATCAAATTCCTCCTCCCGCAGACTGTGGAGCCAATTAAACACCTTCAAGTTCCGATGTGTCCTGTCCAGGTTCTGGCCTCTGTCCCACATAGCGAGATCTTGTACCGAGATCTCGTGATACCGTGGTCTTCCCATGCGCACTTTAATATCCTGCTGAATGACACTACTCAGCTGCGGCGATATGCGAATCTTTTGCACAATTTTTGGTAAATAACCGTAGTCCTCCTCGACAAGATATGGGAACTCCTCCAAGGGTCCTGTTGTAGTCCTCAGTCCATTATCGTCCCCATAACCTGTAGCACGAGTCAGAGCACGGGTTGTCGTTGCAATCTTCTTTTTCACCTTCGTCGTCATCTCTCTGTTCATATCAATCGCTAATATCTTAGTATCCCCTGCCCACATCGTTGTCTTCACTTCCGGTTCCTCCTGTGACGTCACAGGAACTACAGACTCCGTGGGTGTTTTAAACACGTCCACGCTGACGGTCGAAGAGGTCGACAGTCGTCTGATGCTGCTTCGACTACTTCGACTCTTCCGACCAAGTAGGGATGCCTTGGAGCTCTGTCTGGACAGAATCATCTGTTTGCGGACCTGCTGGGCCAACCTCTGTTTAATCATCTGCTCCTTTAACCCTTCAAAATTAATAGGTTTCCCCCGAAACCTTGTCCTCCCTGCAGAAGCATGAGGCCTCTGTGGTCGCCTGACATCGTTCCTGATGTCCGTCATGCTCCCGCTTTTCTTCAACCCCGGTGCCATATTGAGTCCTGTACTCTTACCACAATTAAAAACCATCCTCTGCTCGTCCTTATCCAACATATCAAATATGCTATCATTTGCATCTGGCATTCCCGTACCCACTGTCTGAGTCACCTGCCTTTTCATCATCTTATCTAAAGCACCGACCTTCCTACTAGCAAGTGCAATCCATTTACTCACGGCGGGTGTTTTTTCTGAGGAGGTTTCAGATTTAGGTTTTCTTTTCCTTCTTCGTCTCACCAATTGTATTCGCCTGCCGTTTGAAGAACACGACAGCAATGACAGCTGGGTTGTGATGGATTCTTCGCTGCCTGTTCTCTTTATCCGGGGTTCTCTACCAAGTCTGGCGCTGTAGACAAGTTCCCGAACCATCCGTTCTCGAGGTTCGATGCCGCGGACGGAATATTCCGGCATCCAGTCTTGCAAGGCACGTGATATCCGCCCTTCATCTGTCTCGAAGTCACTGAAACTGGACCCGGAAGCGAATATATCTGAATCGCTGTCACAGTTCTGGATGAAGTCATCCAGTTGATCATCGGTGGGTTCACCTCGACTGTCAACCAGTCTCACTTCCTTAGTGGACACTGGTCGCACACTGGATTTGCTACGGGCACTCATTTTCAATGACAGCCTACCTCGTTAACACAGCCAATCATTGAGATGTCATCCTCGGTGTGTCAGTGTCGAGGAATAGTTTGCATTCCACAATGGTGGATTCAGACACAAATCCAATCAAAATCAGATCACTATAAAACAATCCATTTCCTTACATTTTACTGAATACTCGTAATATAGTCACAATTCACATAAATGTTATTCCTTAAAGCAGTCGTCGTAGAAGGGTTGTATACAGTCTACAGTCGCTGCTCTGTTGATGAGATCATGCCCTCTGTCAACAAGGCATAAAGATTGACACACTAACTGAAAGACCTCTCGCTTCTATTGACAGTGGGTTCATTAAAGCCAATCGTCCACAATATTCACACAACCTCTGCCAGCAAATCCAAATGGTCACCTCTGTTCAGTCACAGTAAAGACGGGGAATCTTCTGTTGTCGGTTGCCATTGTATATCCGATATTGTTTCTGTTTATCCTGCTGCGTTTGTCGCCAGGTTGGTGATCAATGACAGGGCTACCCCTTTCCGCTGACTGATTGCCACTGTTTGAACAGGTCCTTTCTACCGGATTAATAACTCTGATTGGATCTCACTGGTCAGTCACGTGTGCGACGTCACTTTGCCGCTCGCTGAGTTATTGTCGTCTGCTCGCACGCTCTGTCAAGTAGGAAAAAAGAAGTGATTAGATCCATATACATGTATTACTCAGATGAGAGTTTATCGTACAACTCTCCAACCTGGCGTAAAAGTCCCTTTCATCATTTGTAAGAACAATCATAAGGTTCTTTAAAGGTTCGGACAAATTGGCTTCCTAAGTAAGTTCTGTGTGTACGTGTGCGGAGCGTGGTTAAGTTCTTATCGAAACGTAAAGCGCCAAGTTTTCAAAAGTGTTGGTAAAATGTATAACAATCTAATCTTATTACGACCTGTTATCGCCTAATGCCGTACACTACAGGGCTAAGCTGACTTGACATTTCAAGAACGCGGAGAGGTCCATGTGGGCTAGATCCCAACAAGTCTATTAAGTAAGGAATGAGTAAGCTAATAAGGATTATACCGTTCAATAAAACTATACCTTATAAATCTGTCATACACGTTACGTTCAATACAGATTAGACCAGTAGTTTGGCCATAAGTGGGTGACCTATAATTTATATATATGATATATATTTGCCATATGGCATAACATAATAGATATTCTCTGTCAACACCAAGAATAGTATAAACAATATAATACCAATCTTGGCAAGGTCTTTGAACAAGTTTCATATGTCCATACTTGTAAAACAACCGACACGGACTATTGAACAATAAGTTTAGATTTAACCCTGGGGCGAAAAGAAATTTAATCAAGCTTGTCGGTCTATGGCAGTCGTTTTATTTGGAAGAGTGTTTTATCAGGGATAGCAATCGGTGAGTGAGTGGGTCAGCTAGTGAGTGAGCGAGTTTATATGCCAATTTTAGTAATATTATATATTACAGCGAGTGACATGGGCTAAAAACGGTCAGTGTGGGGAATCGAACTCGGTGAATACGAACGCATTAATTATTAGGTAACAAACAAACAGGACGAGAAGGCATCGGAAAATACGAACAGGTTCCTGCATGCCTAAGGGACGTAACTCTGCATCCGTACCACTAAGATTTACGTAGAGGCATGTAATCGCAATATATGGAAAACGAGATGATTTTGAGTGAGTGAGTTTAGTTTAACGCCGCTTTTAGCAATATTACAGCAATATCACGGCGGGGGACACCAGAAATGAGCTTCACACATTGTACCCATGTGGGGGAATCGAACCAGGGTCTTCGGCGTGACGAGCCAACGCGTTAACCACAAGACTACCCCACCGCCCCAGATGATTTTGAGGAATAGACAATGTATGGCAAGTTATGGTTTGATGACAGGATGAATTCAAGTAGTAACATTAGTTCACGTGATTGATTGCACGGCATACGTTGTGAAGACTAACAAGTAAAGTAAACAGTATACTGTCTCTTGGGACATTGTAAATACATAATATCTAGGGGAGGGGTATGGTTTTTACGTCGCTATTGGCAATATTCCAGCATTATCACAGCAGAGGACACCAGATTCACACATTGTACCCCAGTGGAGACAGGTTTTGGGCGTGACGTAATATGTAATAGGCTGTAACAATTATCAAAGAAATCACCCCATTAGCCGTGAATATTATGTCCTAACTGATTAATCCTCTTACCTGTGCAGGTAGTACGTTACAGGTAGTATTGAGGACGTTCACGCTTCTAGTGTTCTCTGTGACGTTGTTTGATAATACCTGCTTTGATATTGATCAAATCTCGCCATGTCAAGTTCTCGCGTGGTGATACGTCAAAGACATATATCCCAGGATGATACGTCATATTGGACAATATTTACCAGTATAATGGTACATGAGATTTCTATATAATAGTTAACGCTCCTTGTACAATAATATACATCTGAAGCAGTCGCTGTTAGTCTTATAAATATAAGCAGCAATGGCCGCATTCTTCCCAAACTATTCAACATACGTGTTGCGTTCTAGCGTTTGTGGGTATACATACGAGATTGTAATTTTTTTCCATAAACACCTTTACAGATGACTGAAGAAAACACATCCAAGTTGAGATATCCATATCAAATTTTAAAAATGGCCACAAACGTTGCGTTCAAGCGTTTGTGAGTACACATACGTGATTGTATTTTTTCCATAATCACCTATACAGATGACTGAATAAAAACACATTTCGACATTGTAATCCAAGTTGAGATATCCATATTAATTTTTTAAAATAATTGTAAATTGATAAGAATTACCTACCTACACTGGATGTCATACTGTCAACACCCGGGACAAGTAGTCTCTTCACATGATCGTAGCACCAGTCCGTTCACAGGTACATACGAGGAGACTAATACAGGTGTGTACAGGTAAGTATAACTACAGGTAGACAGGTAAATGTACCTGAGAGGAGAAGGGAGCTCAACCCTGTCCCTCCAATGTACACAAGCACTTAGTGCAGTCAAGAGATATGAGTGTGTGTTAATATGTGATCTGGGTATTGTTGTGTTATCTATTGTCTGTCATACCCCCACCCTAACTGATTTAATCACATCCAGATATCCTGTGACGCCGGGGTTGAGGGGTGACAGGATCGGGAGGGGAGGTGGGGTGGGGGAGTGGAAACAGGTTGAAGGGTTACGCTGTTGCTTTATGTACATTTATGTACGGTCCACTTCATGTAAATTGATTTATGACGTCATCGACAGAATCGTGCTTAAAACGTTGAGCTGGGGATATACATTAACGTCACTGTCAGTGGTGTCACTTCCATACCATGACGACTTGTGCAGAGTTAGTGAGTGAGTTTGGGTTAATGTCGCTTTAAACAATATTCCAGTGATATCACGGCGTGTCAGCTTGAGAGTGAGTGAGTTTAGTTTTACGCCGCACTCAGCAATATTCCAGTTATATGGCGGTCTGTAAATAATCGAGTCTGGACCAGACAATCCAGTGATCAACAACATGAGCATCGATCTACGCAATGGGATACGATGACATGTGTTAACCAAGTCAGCGAGCCTGACCACCCGATCCTGTTAGTAGCCTTTTACGATAAGCATGGGTTACTGAAGATCAATTCTAGCCCGGATCTTCACGGGTGCGAGGTCGTGGACTTTTTAACAGTATCCATGACCAAGGCTGGTCTTCTGACAAACCTAGAAACATACCCGGGTGGAAACTCGAATACCCAGTTCTGATGAATAGCAGGAGCAACAAAATCTTCACCTGCAAGCTACTTATGATGTATTGTAAAACAAATTCGTTACGTTGAAAAGATTATTGCCATGAGTTCAATAAAATGATGAAACTAAGTGGAAGTTGGCGAATTCTTAACAAAGATTTACTGCTGTTCACATGCACGATATATGCACATGCTTTTAAGCAATTTGATGCATGATCCTCGTGCAATTCATCTGCATAAGGTTTGCAGTTGGTTCCCCCAAGTTAGTGGAGAAATTCAACTTCAATGTAACTATATAAATATGTATACATATAGTGATAGCTGTAAGTCAGTCTAAACTTTTGATGGGTAGTATATTTGTTTACTGTTTTTGTGCTGTTGCTTTTGGATTTATGTTTGTTTGCTGTTTGTTTGTTTTTGTTATTGAGATGATGTTCATTCCATTGCTATACCACAGTTAGATATCATCAAATGTTAATGGCTTTAAGTTAAAACTATCACGTTCATAGTACAATGTGACGCACTTTCACTAAACATTGTGGGATGCCAAGATACAATTTTCTGAAGAAAGTGCAGAAATTCTGCTTGCATGGATCAGCATGAGAATCAGATCGGTGTGACTATACATGACATTCGTGACAAATATATAACATATAATTCGTGACGTATTATAACACCGACACACATACGATGGCCTGGGGCAGTTTCCTTTGATGTGTGTAACCCTACACCGCCAGGTCACCAACAACAGACGCGCTATCTTCAGTCCTGTGTACATAGCCGTCAGTCAGGTTGAGTGACGTGTAATCTGAATATCATCAATATCAGAAAACACGCGGTTATATATTCATGTACAACTTGACTTTCGTATGTATTACATAGCAGTACATACAGTAATAGTAAACCAGGCTCTAGAAGTGTGTATATGATTGATATACTCATGTCGAGAAATAAGGATACGGTTATGCGGAAGGATATGAATATGACTTATAACAATATCGTGAACACTCAAGCGACAAAATTTTACACAGCATTAATCTTAAACATGATATATGTTACACAGCATTAATCCTAAACATGATATATGTTAATGTACTTTACATGTGGGTGGGGCGCGTGAAGGTCCGGGTTAGAATATTGATCTTCAGTAACCCATGCTTGTCGTAAGAGGCGACTAACGGGATCGGATGGTCAGGCTCGCTGACTTGGTTGACACATGTCATCGGTTCCCAATTGCGTAGATCGATGCTCATGCTGTTGATCACTGGATTGTCTGGTCCAGACTCGATTATTTACAGACCGCCGCCATATAGCTGGAATATTGGTGAGTGCGGCGTAAAACTAACCTCACTCACTCACTACATGTGGATGGGGTAGCTGAGTGGTTTAAGCTTTCACTCGTCGCGCCGAAGACCTGGGTTCGTTACCCACGTGGTTACAATGTGTGAAGCCCATTACTGGTGAACCTGTCGCGATATTGCTGGAATATTGCTGAAAGTGGAATAAAACGGTATATATTTTAATGCTTGATTAAAGTCAAGCCTTTTCCTATACGTATGTGCACAGAAAAGTCTTCATTATTGTCGAGTATCACTATATGTACATATAGTAGCCAAGTGGTGAATGTGTCACCTCATGGTGTGGAAGACTGAGTTCGATTCCCATATGAATGGACGGTGTCCCTACCATTGTTTTGTTGTTTTATTGACATAACATTGCTAAAAGTGATGTAAAATTAACTCATTCGGCGAATTTTTATTTCAGTATTAGTCAGCACTGAAATGTCACCTGCACACCATAAAACGCTTCAGCAGCAGTATGTAATGCACTTTACAGCAGGTGGCTCTTCAAACATAACTTCAACCAAGCAGATTAGGTAGTGTTAAGGGGAACAGTACATATACCAGTCTTACGCTGTCTTTGTATATGGGCTACTTCGTGTTGAAGGAGACACCGGTGGTCCAGTCATCATTCTTAACTACTCGTGTCATTCCGGCAAGCGTCTTGTACGAGTATTCTTGTTGGTCACGGAAAGAGGCGAGTAGTTACGAATGGTCCAGTCACATGAAACGTTGCAGTTTGCCTTACAGAGTTACGTCCCTTATGTGCGCCAGAATACCAGCATTTAGTTAGGGTCCATGGGTGGACGTTGTGAATTAAATAAATAAAAAAAAATCTTTTTCACTACCATACGCCATCTCTGTATGTGAGTTAGTGAGTATGAATTTACGACGCTTTAAGCAATATTACGACGGGAGGTACCAGAAATGGGCTTCACACATTGTACCCATGTGGGGAATCGAACCCGGGTCTTTGGCGTGAAGAGCGAACGATTTAACCACTAGGCCACCTCAACGCCCCATCTCCACGGGTGAAATACAGTCACAAAACAACGTGCAACCAACGCAAACATCGTGTTTATTTCAAAGAAAATGTCATCGTAGTCGTGAATATATGGTTATTTGATGTAGTATGAGTTTTGATCTGGTTTTAGCCATACTCGTAATTTATAGTAATCCATGACACTCGCCAATATACCGTCGGCAATAAAACAGGGAACATCACAGTGATTTCCCTGGTTAATCAAAGAATCCTCTTTAATCCTCTACTTACTCCATCAAAAACATTCCCATCTCAATAATCGGTTATGGGTATACTGCTCATCCCAAACTACAGATAACTCGATTAATTCCCATATTCTTCGAGTTAACGAGGTTTATGACGAGAATACTACTGTGCGTTGCCAGGCAACAAAGAATTCCTTTTAGGTAAATTATGTGCTACTCGTATGGCAGGGTAAGCGTTCCCTTCTCACAAACACCTGGTGTCCCCACAATAATCATTATCAGTTATCCATTCATTTAAACTTCAAAGCCAATCGGTTGAAGCGAGTAATCGAGTGCGGTTATTTTCTGTCGATGACGTACAAGCTCCAGTTCAAACAAGTGCGGCAATAGCCACCATATACACGAGACAAGGGAAATACATGTACATATATCTACATATGCTCCGAAAAACACTCACCCGACGTTCAAATCAATTGCGTAGGATGGTCCGTTGTTCAAAACTAGATTCTTCAGGAACTGATCGCTGTCCCTGATAAAGCTCTCTTCAAATAAAACGAACCGCCCCGTATTGTCCTGGTACTATCCCGGGGTGCATGCTTGGAGGCCGGTAGATTATTGCATGTATGATGTTCAGTCGGGTGTTAACGAGGCAACTGTTATAGACCGACAAGCTTGATTAAATTTCATTGTCCCCGGGTTAAATCTGAACGTATTGTTAAACAGTCTGTGTTAGTTGGCGTGTTCATGCACGAGTATGTAAATAAGGAATTTGTTCCAAGACCTTGCCAAGACTGGTATTATATTGTATATGTTATTTTTTGTGTTGATAGAGAATGTGTATTAAGTTGAATATGCCATGTGGAAAGTATATAGTATATATAAAATATATAGTTGGATATATATAAGTGAATGTCTGTTGATGGGATATCTTTAATGTTGACAGTGTTTTTCTATTGACAGCTAGGACGGTTGTGTCTTGTATGTATCATTAGTCGCTTTGGGTCGTAGATTTTTCTGGGGAACGTACTTTACATGAGTCATATCCAACAGCTATCACTCACTCACTCACTCACTCACTCACTCACTCACTCACTCACTCACTCACTCACTCACTCACTCACTCACTCACTCACTCACTCACTCGCACTCACTCACTCACTCACTCACTCCTCTCACTCACTCACTCTCATTAGTCAATTATGACATACTGAAAGTAGAAATCAAAATGGTTTCTGTATATGTGTGCATTAAAGCGTCTGCTACTACAATTTCTGATACGGCTACTACTTCTTGAACTACCACTTTCACCACTACTACTATCATGGCAACTACCACTACTACTACTGTTACTACAACTACTACTGCTACTATTACTAATACAACTACTATTACAAGTACTACAACTACTACTACTACAACTACTACTACTACTGCCACGACTACTACTACAAATAATATTACAACTACTACCACTCCTAGTACTACTATTTCTGCCCTTGTTCCTTAACAACCTGTAACATACTCATGTGTCGTGATATGACTAAATTACTTTTCAAAATAACATTAAATCCAAACGCGAGGAGCGTAAATCTAAACAGTCCTGACACAACCACACATTTCACCATATCTGTTGTTTAGCGACATGGAGTTACGTGTGTGAAATGGTGTATTTACAGGCCGCTTCGTTCACTTACATTAAGGCTGGCTGGTCAAGGAGTGTGTGAGTTTGATTTTACGCCACACTCAGCAATATTCCAGCTACATGTATATGGCGGTCAGTAAGTAATAGAGTCTGGACCAGACGATCCGGTGATCAACATCATGAGCATCGTTCTACGCAATTGGGATACGATGACATGTGTCAATCAAGTCGGAGAGCCTGACCATCGCATCCCAATAGTCGCCTTGTACGACAAGCATGGGTTACTGAAGACCCATTCTAACCCGGACCTTCACATTTACTGGCTGGTCACACATTCAGTCGTTATGGAATCGTTGAATTGATTGCAGACATTTTGGATTCGTCATCAAGGCATCAGTGTACATGTTTCTTACTTGTTTTGCATAAACCAGAGACCGTATGGGATCAACAATCCATGTTCAGATGGCAGAACATAAGCGCGCACTTTGCATGTCAAGCATTATCGCTTTTCCAAAATATGACTTTTTAAAATTAATTTGAATAATATCAAAATGATTTCAGACGATATATTACATTCGCATGGTGTCGAGAAATACCCATTCCAGCTTTTTAAATATGTTTTCAGGCGATTATTTGCGTTAACATGGTGTTAACAAAACAAATACATTTTACAACATGCGATTTAAAGATAAAATATATAACAAAGAATTGGACATGCTGATTAAATAAATAGAAATAATATAAACAAATTTCATCTCAGTTGTTGCCTACAAAAACAAAACGTAGTTTATCTTTGCTATGTTCAACTAACACAAGCACAACATTTTCTTAAGCATAAACTACGTATAAAGTACCGCATTGGTCCGCTATTGATATGCCCGTTTTCTTTGTATAACCACAAGCTATGAGATCACAGAGATAAAGACTCATACTTAACCTATGTAAATTACCTACGAAAATGTATACTCAGGGTAATGGCGGTAGCATTGTTACGGTAGACAAATAAGTGTTGTTTCTGGCCTTGATCAGAACGCCGATCTCAGTTACCTCCCTTGTAGAGTGTTTTAATTAGCTTATTAGAGGAATGTGTTATTCGGGTTTCGAGACCCACTCAATTCCGCCGCTCGACTCGATCCACTATCAAAGCGCTATGCTTGGGCATAAAAGATTTACATGAAAAAACAACCAAGACAATGGGGTTGGTAATTTGCCAAATTACCACTCCGTGAACCTGTTCTCTCAACGCGCTTCTCCCAGGATGTATGGGAGTTGTTGTTGTAGGCATGTAGGTATATATGTTATTGTGATACGGGTACGTTGAGTCAGTACACCTGAGGTAACAAGTCGCGATACCTGAGTCGAGCCGCTGACATACCTGAGGTGAGGAGCTACTTTACTTACCTGTAATCAGCGTTTACTGTGGAGTATATCCAGGTACACGCCATGGACTGTGGATAGACAACAGGTGAGCCACAGCCTGTGTGTGGTGGATGTATAACGTATTTATGTTGTAAACATTTACTTAATAATGATTATGGATATTACGGGGTAAACATTTTTAATATACAGACACATGGTATTTTGCTTTTGCCTCCATCAGGTGAATTCTCGTGAAAACAGGAAGTACTGTTATACGAGAAGTTGGGGAGTTTCTTGACCACAGCATCATTGACCTGATGGGGAGGCAAGGAGCCCTGATACATTGTATATGTGTAGTAAAGAAAGCAGTTAAAGTATCACTGAAACGGTGTGTATGTATATTAAAGTAGTTGCTATCTTTATTCGAGCCGCTGTCGAGTAGTAGCTAATTTATATATCTTTAAATATTCCTTCTCATAATTACACAAGACTCGTGATTCTCTTATTATATGAACTGAAAATGTTTTTTTGTATTTGAACAATATAACGATATTGCCAATAGAACTGCTAGACTAAACCCTACACGTTGTTCGTACTGATATCGATCTTAAACGAATTTTTAAATTTTACGTTTACACGTTGTTCGTACTGACATCGATTTTAATGTTAACAAAACAGATGTCAATTCGCAATATTTACATACAAATATGGTTTAACAACATGATGACTCTGTGTCCTACTCAACGCCATCTGAGGTTGTCATTTCGCAATGCACAGCCAAGTACTTGTACTTATGAAAGTCATGTTCTCGGTTAGTTTAACTTATTGAACGGCAATATCCGGTTTCCCATAGTATATGTACATGTAAGCAGTTACGAAAACGGCAATTTCTTGTAGGTATGTAGAACAGGCTTAAGTCGATGGATGGAGAGCAGAATGTTGTAGGGTGGCTAGTCGGTTGTTCGATACCCGCGTCACACCAAAAGACGCTAACCGATGGTTCTTGTTGCCCTGCCTGTTTTCGGGATAAAACCAGAAAACATGGTCTGGTAGGTTCTCTGAGTCAGGACACCACTTCTGATACGTTGTGACATAAGCACACGAACACGCACACGCACACGCACACGCACACGCACACGCACACACACGCTACAAAAAGAACCTGAGCTCTCATTTTTCCATATTGTTACCAAATACAAAGACAACCGTGTTACTATACACAGAGTACCCCGTTTTTACGAAGCACGTTAATCTGGACACCCACTATATCTTCATAGGTATGCGGGGCGGTGGGGTGGTCTAGTGGTTAAAGCATTTGCTCGTCACGACGAATGCCCGGGTTCGATTCCCCTCATGGGTACAGTGTGTGAAGCCACTTTCTGGTGTCCCGCGCCGTGATATTGCTGGAATATTGCTAAAAGCGGCGTAAAACCATCACTCATAGATATGCAAATTCCGTATAAAACTGAAACATCACTTCAAACTCAGAGGTACTTTATTAATCACTAATGTCTTTAATCCTGGGTCTTAGGAGATCGTCCGGATTGGCGAGGTTTTGCGGTAGATTTATTTATCGTGGTGACAGAATCTGCCAGAGCATTGGCAGTATAACAGCAGTATTCGGTTTCAACACTAACACAATACCAGCCTATACACAGGGTCCAGGGAACAGCATATATGTAAATAGTGTTGTGGCTAATTGATACACCTAGCAGTACTTGATTACATACACGTATATGTGTAACAGTCGTGTGAAAGGAGACCTTAAATAACCATTCATCCATGAAGCAGATAATAGCCACAGTGTACATGAGTGCTTGAACAAGTTTGTAAATAATTCACCTTACATCAATTTATCAATAGATCGAATCAATAAAAAGATTTTTTTTTAAATAGATCGAATCTGCGTCTATTAATAAAATATATAGGTGCTATGTAGAAGATAAGGACATGTTAAGGTACAACGTGCAGCTAGGCCACTATTTTTTCTGTGTCTTAAAGGCAGCAACAACGACAATTTGATTATATTTTCTATCTGTCTCAATTTTACCTTGTACATACATTGCTTAGACCAGCTCGGGTTACTTTTTCCGAAAGAAATTAGTCTGTCTCACAGTCGCCGAACTATATTAGTTTCACTTCCGCTAAACCTTTCTACTATTCTTAGCCCTAAATGAAGGAAATCGAAATTTTTGTCGGGATAAGGGTCTACTTTCGACTTTAAATGCAATATTCGTTTCTATCTAAATGATATAAATTTAGAGACTAAGCGTTAGTCGAGCGAGAAAAGGTCGCTCCCCCATAACCCCGGCGGTGTATGTAGTTATATTTGATTCGGTACAGTATAACGCATGAGATTATAACCGATATTTAGCATAGAATTTTGTTTCTACCATCGCCGAAAATGTACTTCAACAAAAAAAATCATCGTATATTTTGAGTTGTGACAGTTGATATTGGGGATTACACACCAAATCACATTCGGTGTCGATAAGATTCGATTCGATTCGATTGTGTATTCAGTAAAGACTTGGGCTATGTGCCCCTCGTCATCATTTTACACTGTATACATGATATAATATGGTTATCCATTGAAATATACATATTTTTTACATTTACAAAGGAGGCTGGACAAAACATTCGGTACTTACATGCAAACTTTATGTATTTACATAATTTTGCAATACTATCTTTAGATGGGTTTCTTAATAATTCCAAAAATTTCAACATACTTGGTTTCTTCCAAAAATAACGTTTAATCAGCTGTTTTCGATGTACTGTATGTTTTGGGCAAATTAAACCGAAATGGTATTCATCTTCGATTACATTTACAATATTTTCTTTACAGTAGATACAATATCTTTTCTCCCGATCAATATTTTCATAACGCCCAGTTTCGATTTTTAATTTATGACACGAAATTCGTAACATAGTTAAATACCTAACAGTGGATGTAAAGCATCTAAGTATAATTCATATCCAAATTCACTTTTGATATTGCTGTATAGCCATAATTTACTACTTGTCGTGTATGCTGTTGAGCTGACGGTGTAGAATTTCACAACATTGGCGACACTGGCATCACTACTACTGGTAATCAACCATGGATAATTAGTTTAACGGAAGTAATTGATGTTGTATTCATCTACGTAAACTGACGTACAATAGAAACGGTACATAATGCTTGTGCACTATCAAAACACCTTTCTAAAAAAAACTTTATTTTGGTTGGAAAATGACACACACACACACCCCTTTTTGCCTTCGCCAGGCGGGGTAACAACAAGTTCTATTTAACTTCTTGGCGCGGACAGAAATAGAACCACCGGCCTTGCGTTCTCCTCTCCGGTCTATCTGCTGATGAACGAGGTATGTCGAGACCACGTATGATACGAGGATCTTCCATAGTTAGCCAATCTGTTTAACGCTGTAATGCAACTAATGTGACATCAAAAAACATTCCAACCACGTGATTGATAGCATGACCAAATATGCAAACTGTCCACACCATCGCGGTTGGAGTTGGGTCGGTTGGGTAGTCTATTGACTGAAGCGTTACCACACCACACATTCAATGTTCAATGTTCGAATGTTAAAACTGCCTCTTCCTGGGTAGTGGGGTAGTCCAGTGGTTAAAGTGTTCGCTGGTCACCCCGAAGACCCTTTTAAAATGCCCACATGGGTACAATGTGTGAAGCCCATTTCTGGAGTTCCCCCTCCGTGATATTGCTAGAATATTGGTAAAGGTGGCGTGCGTAATTAAAACCCAACTCACTCACCCTTCCATGGTTAGCGCTATAAATAGGACATTAGTACATGCAGCACATGTACACGTGCATGTACGACGCTCTATAAGGGCAATGATACTCTTTTCACGTCACAGTGAGTGAGTGAGTTTAGTTGTACGCCCCTTATACCAATATTCCAGCAATATCACGGCGAGGGACACCAGAAATGGTCTTCACACATTGCACCCGTGCAGGGAATCGAACCCGGGTCTTCGGCGCGCGAACGCCTTAACCACTAGGCCACCCCGCAGCCCCGTCACCTCACTGTTAACCAAAGAACCGAAATACATTACACCGAAGCGGTAGTCAACTTTATTTCGAACACCCCTTCACTATAACAACGCAGCGTAATAATATTCTCTACCCTTTATTCAATTAATGTACTGCCTCCGACGCCCTTAACCCCGTTTTTATACCGAGGTATTTTAGTTGCTAGGTAGACTGTCAACTCCCATGTCAACTAAGGCTTATAAATAAAATCTCCGTATCTAACGGCGGTTCGGTATCAACTTTGAAATGAGACACTGTGATAGACATATAATCCACAAGCACACTATGCTATATTTCATTACTTGATTAATGCATGTACTAGGATCATCGTATTTCAGTATTCCGATCTTGTTATTGATGGCTTGCGACTGATTTCAAATACATTGACGAGACACGGATACATTGATCACTCTGCGGGGGTTACGGGTGGGACGTCCTCAGGGTCTACAACTAAGACTTGTATTTTGTATATATATGTAAATACGTCTAGGGTGTTCGTGAGATCAACATGGTTGTGAGAGACGAGTCGCGGCACGTACCTGCTCCCAATATCTACCCACGGTTAATACGATACCACTAAATCTTGGATACCTTGAAGATCAATACAAGGCTTGAATAACTAACACGCATATGTCCGAAGTATACTTTATATTTTATCTATGATGTGAGCATATACGTAGATGAAAGGCAAACCCACATCTACTCACGGGCTGTGTTAATAGACATGTCACTGGCACGAGCAGGCAGGTATATTATGCAAATTGTAAAATGAAATCTATGAAAGTTACTCCTTAAAATATTTACACTAGCAGGTATTTACTGTTGGGTAATAAAATGGAAAACTGGATTTGAGCAACGAATTGCAAACATTATCAAAACGTTACCAGGTTACTGAATCAATGCACATGTAAGGCCCAATATCGCGGTATATTGCCGTATCAAATACCTTACCATCCAATACCCAGCTCTTGTTGTTACCTATTAGCTGGTCCTACCTTCCCTGACACAAATATATCCAGTGCAGCCCATGCAAGTCTATAACATCAAG